CCAATTAATTTCTTTCTATTTTTAGTAGAGACGGGGTCTCGCTCTTGCTCAGGCTGGTTTCGAACTCCTGAGCTCAAACAATCCGCCCGCCTCGGCCTCTCAGAGAGCTAGGATTACAGGAGTGAGCCACCGCACCCAGCCTAGCATATATATCTTTTTATTGAATAGTATTCCATTATATGGACATATCAATTTTGCTTAACTACCTGCTAGTTGTTGCACATTTGGGTTTTTTCTACTTTTCGGCTGTTATAAATAATGCTGTTATGAACATTCACATGCAAGTCTTTGTGTAGAAATATGTTTCGTTTCTCTTGGGTAGATGCCCAAGAATGGAATAGCTGGTTTGCGTGATACATTTATGTTTAAATTTTTAAGAAACTGCCAAACTGTTTTCAAAGATGGCTATATCATTTTATATTCCCACCATCATTGTATGAGGGCTCCTATTTCTCTACATCTTGGCCAACATTTGTTGTTGTCTTTTTTATTATATCTGTTCTAATGGATGTGAAATGGTATCTCATTGAGGTTTTCCTTCACATTTCCTTAATGACTGATGATAATTGAGCATCTTTGCATGTGCTCGTTAGCTATTCTAGTATCTTTCTTGGTGAAATGTCTATTCATATTTTTTGTCCATTTTTTTATTGCATTGTCTTCATGATTGAGTTGTAAGAATTCTTTGTATATTCTAGTGATAAGTCCTTTATCAGTTATATAATTAACAAATAACTTTTTCCCAGTCTGTGACTTGTCTTTTCATTTTCGTGGTGATATCTTTCGAAGCACAAAAGTTTTGATTTTTGATAAAGTCCAGTTTTCTTGCTTAATTTATACAAGAAAAAAGTATGCTTTGGGTGTTCTAAGAAATCTTTGCCTAATCCAAGTTCTTGAAGATTTTCTACGTTTTCTTCTAAAAGTTTTATTGAAGTTTTATCTATTACATTTTGATTTTCTTATCCATTTAAAGACCTGTTTTTAAGTGGGCTGTGTTATACTTTTAAGGTGTAAGTAATGACTTTGTTTTTGGTTGATCTCTTCTAGGCAGGACAGCAAGGAGATTTCAGTAATAACTTATGTCCCTTCAGCATTGCTCTTCTTCTCTCTGTAACAAGAATACAAAGATTTGAAGAACAGGTATTTTTTAATGTCATTTTGTTTCCTTCTATAGTCAGTAAGAAGGAGTACAAGAATCTGTTTTTGTTATTAGTCCTTTTCTAAATAATTCTACCCCTACCCTGCCAGCAGCAAAGCTGCTGTAAGACATGTTAGCCCCCACTGTTCTCTGGGGCCTGTTGGCAGATTTCTTCAGGTATTTGGGTTATACCTCCATTCCTTTTGTGTGGTAAGTCAGGTAGTGAGATGGGAGTAAGAGTGGAAACCTATCACACAGCCCAAGTTGCAAGAATGGGAAGTTTAGCTGGATATTCACCAGGAGTTTTATTATGTTGTAGCTTTCCAATAAACAGTCCCTGATCGAATTAAAATTAATGAGAATAGGTTAGTTGCAAGGATGAAAATATAAAATCTTTTACTCCTTTTTTCTCATATGTTCCCAGGTTGTGGGTAATATTTATATTGATTTTTTTAAGTCCTTTTTCTGGTTTGAGAAAGGCTTATCTTCAGCTCTTTTAAGTTCCCACTGAAAGTCATAATTTTTGTATCATCTTCATCTGGTTAAACAGTTGTCATAGGGATATGAGTGGCAACTTGTAGGAACAGTTAACAGGGTTAAGATTCATAGCATGAGTTAGAACTTTTACTTCATTTTCCTACTTCTTTCATTATATTAGGTGTTCGATCTGTTAAAGATTTCGATTGTGAAGAGCTTTAAGGATCTTCAGCTCCTCCAAGGCTCAAAATTTCTTCAGAATCTAGTTCCTCATCGACCTTGTGTTTCAGCCATGATCTTGGAAGTGGTAAAGAATAGGTAGGTGGGTTGGTGAACCATATCTCAAAAGGTTTATAAGATATTTAGTGTTAGGAAATGCAATGTGATATCGTACTTATGGCTCATCAGAGAAAACTGATGACTACAGCTGTTGACTTCACACATTAAGGTTTAATTCTTTAAAATTGGTCGAGCAAGCTTTTTCCATATGGAAAGATCTTCGAATCTCAGGACCTGATTTCTTGGCCATCTTGATAGTAAGAATATAAAACTGAAGTAGATACTTTTGTTTTTTCCATAATATTACAATCCTTTATTAGCCTGAGTCTTTTATAGTTTTTCTTTCTTTCTTTTTTTTTTTAGTTAAAGAGATAGGGTCTCATTATATAGCCCAGCCTAGAGTGCAGTGGCTGTTCACAAGTGTGATCATATCATGCAGCCCTGAACTCATTGGCCTCAAGTGATCTCCCACCTCACCCTCCTGAGTAGTTGGGACTACAGGTGTGCATTACCGTGCCTTTTTATTTTTTCTTTTATCCAAGGAGGTTGTGAATGTAGGCCTTTTTTTCTCCTTAAGAGATGGGATTGTCTTTCTACATTGCCCAGGCTGGCCTTGAACTCCAGGGCTCAAGTGATCCTCCTGTCGCAGCCTCCGGAGCAGCTGGGACTATGGGTACACACTACTGCACCCAACTCTTGGCCTTTTTTTTAAAGTGAGTAAAAAACTTTAAGAGTTTTATTTACTTTGACTGTTGAAGTTTGGGGCTGATGGCTGGTCTTTAATTATCGATTTAAAACCACATGAAAAATACCAGTAACAATCCTGATTTTTATATTAATTTTAGGTTATACACTAGCTGTTGTAATAGTCTTTACTATGTCATACTTTCTTTGTTCTGTGGATTAAATACATTTTAAAGCTTTATAATTTAAGCCATAATTTAATGTTGGTCTCTTCCAGGTCTGGGAATTCTGACTTAGGTTGAATTTACATGAGTTTGTCACATAAGAGCAAATTTGAAACTAGAACCATTGTTTCTGAGTGTTTTATCCATTGATAGACTTTAAAGCTCTTTTATCTTCTCTATCTGGTTAATCTTCCTTTTCTAAAGGCTTATAGTTGTGTCTTCAGTATTCTCCAAACTCAGTTTCTTCAAGTTGGGCTAAAGAAACAAGTACTAGCTAACCAGGAAATTCCTCGAAAGCTGACTATCTTCTGGAAGTCTCAGCCAATCATAGGACTTGGAGGCATCTCTATCTGTAATTAGCCTGTGGTGTGCACTTGCCACCAGGTGGGACCAAACTTCAGCGGGAAGGGATTTGGATAGTATTATTAGATCCACTAAAATATTAACTGGCTGATTAGTCACACATGCTTGCCCTTGCTTGCCCCAGTCAGTTAATTAATCTTTAAATTATGCATCCTACTTTTATGTAATTGAATTTTTGGTCCCCACTTACCACATTTTGGTGATATTTTATTGTTATCTAGACTTAGATTTGCCTGTTAGTGTTTTGTGTTCATTAGTAGAGGCATTTCTGCTGTAACACAATATATTCCTAAAAAACCTTTTGTTTTGGAAAATTGTACCCTAAAAATAATTGGACTGGAGGGGAAAAGAGACTTAAAATGTATTCGACTTTGTAACCAGAACATTAAGATATTTAATGGTCTTAACATAAAAGTCCTATGATAAATATAGGACTTTATCTTAACAACACATTGAAGTAAATTGGAAAGGGAGTTTGAGACTGCTTAATTATGGAAATTGGGACAAAATATACAAATATTGACAGCCACACAATAAACACATCAAAGATATTGATAAGCTTGTGGCCTAAGCCAAGCGGGAGAAAATGAGATAATAGGCATCATGAACAGTATTGTATTCTTCCTTGGTTTGCTGTATTCAGCTATGTTAATGTACTATGTATTTATCTGCAGATATTTTGAGATACAAAACACTAATGTACTAGAAAAAAAAATTACTTATGAACCAATTCAACTTCCAGATTATATTGACCTACCTATTTGCCAGTCATGTGTGAGTTTTTCCATCTTACAGACAATTTTATAACTGTTTACTCCATCCAAGATGAGAACCTTAGTATATACTTTTAGTTCTCCTCTTCCTTCTCGCCATTGCCACCTTGGTGTTAAAATTATTATTAACAGCACTTATTTAGACTTCATAATAAACTTTACTGGTTTTTTTTTTGCTCACTTCTATTTTTTGAATCTCATGTTTTTCTCTTGGAAATGTACCATAAATGTATAATTTTTACATTCTTTCTGATGTGGTTTGTGGATTATAAACTTTGATTCTTTTCATATCTGAAATTGTCTTTATTTTGCCCTCCCACCTGAACAATAGTTCACATATAATAATTTGTTCTTTCTGTTCATTCTGTTAACCTTTTCCCTCAGATTATAGTTCTCTGTGTTGAGTTTGGCACTTCTCTTCAAGGTGGTATTTTTTTTTCTTACATTTGATAATTATTGGTTATCTTATTATTATTTTTGATGTGTCCCATTAGTTTGAGAGTGCTGTATCTATTTAACACAGTCCACGCAAGCGGTTTAGAGATCGTGGTGAGATGTGCCAAGCATTAGTCTTCTAGGTGTACGACCTTCCTAACCCTCCAACATGTTGCTATTGTCTCAAGAGTGCTACTCTGCCTCTCAGGTCCAGGTTCCCCTACTCACAGGTCCCAGCTAGTGGCAGCTCTCTTTATTGCTTATTTCTTGGCATAAGTTAGGGGTTCAGTGGGGCATTAGAGAAGAAGGTAGAGAAGGATGCATGTACCAGACTGTTCATACTGTAGTATCTCAACCAATTACCACAAAAGTTGCCCCAGGGCTCCTTCTAGTGTATCTGCCCTTGCTATCTACCTTTGGAGCCACTCATACATTTTGTACTCTGTGGTCTGTGGTATCCTCTTTCATTCCTTTCACTTTTTTTTTGAGACAGGGTCTTGCTCTCTCTCAGGGCTAGAGTGCAGTGGCATCATCATAGCTCACCGCAACCTCAAACTTCTGGGCTCAAGCAATCCTGCGTCAGCCTCCTGAATAGCTGGGACTACAGGCACACACCGCCACACCTGGTTAATTTTTCTATTTTTTTGTAGAGACAGAGTCTCACTTTTGCTCAGGCTGGTCTTGAACTCCTGGCCTCAAAAAATCCTCCCACCTCAGCCTCCCAAAGTGCTAGGATTACAGGTGCGAACCAACATGCCCGGCCTCCTTTCACTTTTTAAGGTTTCTTCATATTAATAATTTTTGATCAATCAAAAATACTTCTTTTTCTGCACATTTTATAGATTGTATATCATTATATACAGATGCTTCTTATGTTGGATGTACATCCCAATAAAACCCATTATAAGTTGAAAATATCCTAAGTCAAAAATATAGTTCTTATTTATTGATTGATTGATTTATTGATTGATTGATTGATTGAGAGAGACAGAGTCTCTGTTGCCCTGGCTAGAGTGAGTGCCGTGGCATCAGCCTAGCTCACAGCAACCTCAAACTCCTGGGCTCAAGTGATCCTACTGCCCCAGCCTCCCGAGTAGCTGGGACTACAGGCATGTGCCACCATGCCTGGCTAATTTTTTTTTATATATATTTTTAATTGGCTGATTAATTTCTTTCTAATTTTAGTAGAGGCGGGGTCTCGCTCTTGCTCAGGCTAGTCTCAAACTCCTGAGCCCAAACAATCCGCCTGCCTCGGCCTCCCAGAAAGCTAGGATTACAGGTGTGAGCCACCGTGCCCGGCCTATAGTTCATATTTAATACACCTAATCTACAGAACATCATTGCTTAGCCTAACCTACCTTAAACATGCTCAGAACACTTACATTAGCCTGCAGTTGGCCAAAATTTTCTAACATAAAGCCTATTTTATAATAAAGCTTTGACTATCTCATGTAATTTATTGAATACTGTACTGAAAATGGAAAACAATGGTTGTATATGCACTCTAAGAATGTTTTCTACTGAATCACCATCATGAAGTCAGAAAATCGTTGGTCAAACCATAGTAAGTCGGGGACCACCTGTATACACATACACACTATTTACTGTGTGTGTGTGTGTGTGTATTTGGGGTGGGAAGAGTGGAACACATGCGCAGTTTATCTTGATCCCAGCTTTCTAGAGTGAATAATGTTAACTCTGTCAAAGCATTATGAGAATTTATTCACAACTATCTCCTTCATTCTATAGTGCTGCATTATAATTTATTGCTATTTAATAGGTAGATATAATGACATAAAGGTTGTATACATTACACTTCCATTATAGTAGGTAACATTAAGTGTATAAAATCACCAATGATTCTGCTGTTTACAAAAGGTTATTTGTAATTTTAATTCATGCTCTTGAAACCAGATCACTCATCCATTCATGCTGTAAGTATTTACTGAGTGCCTTTTATATGTCAGCTTTGTGCTAGGATCTATAGGTAAAAATATGATTACACTGTGCCCTCTGTCCTAGAGACTCTCAGTTTAGAGAGGGAGGCTGATTTGTAAGCATATGTGTAAGTGTTGTCAGTGTTGTAGGGATAATAAAAGAAGAAGCAATTAACTTCTGATCATGAAATCTTGAATGGGGATCTCTAGTGGTCATTGTGTTGAAATATTCCAGTTTCTTCTATATATTTTTTAATATTCTCTAGTTTCCGGAGTTTCCCGGTATTCTATCTTAATGGAGATCACTTGCCTACCATTCCCATTACTATACATTTAAGAATTCAGAATTATGTTAGATATGGATGCATGAAAAGAAAAAGGTTCATCTGCGGAGTGTGTTGATTATCCAGGTCGAGTTTGGGAAACGTGTAACATGGCAATGAGTATAAAGGTGAGGTATCTTACTAAGTTTTTCTTTTCAACTAAACTTTGTTTTCTTTCAGTGTTCATAGTTGGGATCATGTTACTCAGGGCCTCGTAGAACTTGGTTTCATTTTAATGGATTCATATGGGCCAAAGAAGATTCTTGATGGGAAAACTATTGAAACCAGCTCAGGTCTTTCTAGAATGCCAAACCAGCATGCATGTAAGCTGGGAGCTAATATCCTGTTGGAAACTTTTAAGGTGAGGCCATTCCCTAATTTTATTTAAATATAAATTGGGCTTGATATTTGAGAATTTGGGGGATAAGGATGTTTGAGTAGGTAGCAGTTTGATAGAGTATGTGTGATAGAGATTAGGATGGTATTGGAACATTACAGATCTAGTTTGATAGGATACTTATCTTTCTTTATGTAAGTTTTTTATTTATTCTACTTAGTCCTGTTGTTTCTGACCATTTCTTAGAAGTTTGAATATAAGATAGCTTTTCTGTCGTTTTTACTTCTTCCTATAGCAGTAAACCATTTCTTGTTTTTTGTTTGTTTTAATGCTATTCTCTTATACAGAAAACAATTTTCATCAAGCTTGAAGAATCATGCTTATTGGCTCATTGTTTTTAAACAACCCAAAATGGAGAATTTACATTTTTTGATATCATAACCAAATTATGACTTATCATCTCAATCTTAATTTCTGAACAGCTTTTAAATATTCATTTTAAGTAAAAAAAAAAAAAAGTTAGATCATATTTGAGGCTTAACAACTTTGCTAGTGATTCCTCTAACTTTTCTTCTTGACATTTAGTTATTTAATGTAGCTACATCCAAAAGTATCTGGCGAAAATGTTATTTGGAGGCTAATCTCAATGGAAATATAGTGTTCTGATCTAGAACTATGAAGTAAATGTAATAGAAGAGTTCTTAAGAGTTATAAGTGTATTTGATGATACAAATGACCCTGCTTAATAGTAATAATGGTTGAAAATATTCTTAGGATATGTTTTTGTTTTTAAATTCATATTTTTCAACACTAGAGAGATTTTATTTGATTTTACATAAATGTAGGCTTTATTAAGGCATCTTTATATATTTCAGACCTCACTGTTTGAGATCTGAAAGAAATTAGTCTACCTCAAAGTAATCAAGTTCAAGTAAGAATTTTAATGAAAATTCAGAATGGATTTTTTTTTAGGCAGCTGCTAAGCTTCTAGAAACTGAGAAAGTTACTGGGGACTTTTTAAGTTTCTAGCAATTTTCATGGGCTTTTAAATTTAAATTTTTTAAATAAAAGTTATATGTACTGTCAGAAATATGGATGTTGGCATGTGATGAATACCTAAGTAGAATTATTCCTATTTGATGCTGGACCTTATATATATATATATATAGTAGTACTTTCATGTGATCTGTACTTTCAGGCTAATAAACATAATATTTACCCTGCTAATGAATCATCTGAGCACAGAACAAGGGGAAAACTGACTGATTCTGTCTTTTCAGATGATTTACATTATATTCTGATTTGTCAAATTTTACCCATGTCCAAACTGTTCTTCATCCTGCCTAACATGCACTGATACAAGCTGTAGATCACCCAGGAAGATTTTATTGGTTCTGTTCTCTTTAGATCCATGAGATGATCAGACAAGAAATTCTGAAGCAAGTCCTCAACAGGGTTGTTACCAGGGCATCTTCTCCCATCAGCCATTTCTTAGGTATTGGATTTTGAAAGGATAAATAAAGTTCTTAGGAATATTTTAATTTAAATGTCATTATGAACGATTTGGTCCTGGAAAAAAATTTTTTAATGATACAGTAGAGTTTAGTGCAGTATCTTTGATTATGATGTCGATAAAACATAAATCCACTTACGTTGTCTGTTGTAAAGAAGGCGGTAGTTGTCAATAAGGAAGGGAGCATTTAACTATTGAGTGACACATCCATTTTGCATCAACATTCTATCTTTTAAAAGTACTTCTCAAATGAGTGCTGTCCTGCTGCCACTCACTGATCTCCTCCTAGACTCTTAACCCCTGACATTCTGACTTTATTATTACTTTTCTCTTTGGTAACCTCTGAATTCACTGTTTTTAATAGATATCTTCTAATGTCTAAATCTACTGGCCTTTTCTTAGTCATTAATATTCTTAATTTATTTTTGTCATTAATAACACTTCACAACGCCCCTAAAACTTTCTGATAGGTTCTCTGATAACTAATAGTTTGCTGCTTATCCTGCTTGTGATCAGTTTTTCTCTTTATCCTTTAGTTGTTTCTTCTTTCTTCTACCCTTAAATGTCAGGGTTCTGCAATATTCAGTATTTAACACCTTATTCTACTATTTTTCTTTCTTTACAGCTTTACTGAGATAAATTGAAGTCCAGTAATCTCCACATATTTAAAGTATAACAATTTGATGACTTTTGACATATGTATATACCTGTGAAACCATCACCACAGTCAAGATGAACATATCTATCACCCACAAATGTTCCCTCGTGCCTCTTCATAATCTGTCCTTCCATCCCTCTTTTCCTCTCCATCTCCCATCTCCAGTCTGGTCTGCTGTCACTATGAATTAAATGCCTTTTTAAAAATTTTATATAAATGGAATCATAACAGTGTGTTTTCTTTTTTGGTCTGGCTTCTTTCACACAGCATAATTCTTTTGAGATTTATCCATGATTCTTACATGTATCAATATCTGGTTTCTTGTTGGTATTCCATGATGTGGATGTAACTATAATTTGTTTATCCATTTACCTGTGGATTAGTTTTTAGGTTGTTTCTGGGTTCTGACTATTGCAAATGAAGCTACTATTAACATTCAGGTATAAGTCTGTGTAGACAAATGCTTTTATTTCTCTTGGGAAAACACCTATTGGTAGAATGGGCACATCATATAGTAGATGTATGTTTAGTAGTTTAAGAAATTGGCAAAGTATTTTCCAAATTGGTTGTGTTTTTTTGCATTCCTACCAGCAGTGTTTCCAGTTGTTCCATATTATCACCAACACTTGGTTTGGTCAATCTTTTTAATTTTAGGGATTCTAGTAGGTGTATAGTAGTATCTAATTATGGTTTTCATCTGCATTTCCCCAGTGCCTAGGGGTGTTGAACATTTTTTTATATGCTTATTTGCCATCTGTGTATCATCTTTGGTCAAATGTCTCTTCAAATCTTTTGCCCATTTAAAAAAAATTGAGTTGCCTTCTTACAGTTCTAAGAGTTTGGTTTTTTTTGTTTTTTTGTTTTTTTTAACATGAACCAAAGTTTTATTTGTTCATTTCTTATATTTGAAGTACTCTTTGCAGACATCCTTGGCCTGAGATTCTTTGCCATAGTCCTTAAGTACTACACAACTGCAACCAACCACTTTATTGGGTTTCCCCTCTCTGTCAATTTTACAAAGGCTTACCCATGCCCCTAGTTTCTTGTTGTCATCATCCTTAATTAGGTTGATTTGGTGTTCAGCACAAAGGGCCTCCACTAACTTGACATACATAGGCTCATCACAGTTGGATGCAAGCACACAAAGATGGGCTTGGCGCTTGTCTAAGGCTTTGGCAGCTTCAGGAATTCCACGTGCAAGGCCATCATGAATGGTGTTCTTCATCACCTCTTGTAAAGCAGTATTAGCATCCATTACCCCTCCAGCAGCAGGGCCTTCCTCAGCCGTGGAGGTGGGTTACTGGTGAAGCCAAATCTTGAATACACCTGAGCCTCTGCCTCCTCACAACTTTGCTATGGCAGGGAAAGAGTAAGAGTTCTTTATATAGTCTAAATACAAGTCCTTTGTCAGATACATGTTTGGCAGATAATTTCACCCAGTCAATGGTTTGGCTTTTAATTTTTGTAATAATGTCATTTGAAGAGCAAACATTTTTAATTTGAGGGGGTTTCATTTTTTAAATTTATTTTTATACTTCCTGTTTTTTGTGTCATGTATACAAAAAATCTGTAGCAAACCTAAGGTCACTAAGATTTTTCTCCTGTATTTTCTGCTAGAAGCTATGTAGTTTTAACTTTCCTGCTTAGACCTGTGATCTACTTTTGTTGTATTCTGTATATGGTGTGAGGTAAAAATTAGGGGTTGGTTTGTTTGTTCTTTGGGCATATGGCTATCCAGTTGTTCCAGCACAATTTATTGAAAAAAGTTATCATTCCTTTCTTGAGCTACCATGGCATCTTTGTTGAAATCAGCTAACTGTATATGTGTGGGTCTATTTTAGGAATCTCTTCTGTTCCAGTGATCTATGTGTTTTAGTGTCTTTATGATTATAGCTTTGTAGTAAGTCTTTTTTTTTTTTTTTTTTTTTTTTTTTGAGACAGAGTCTCACTCTGTTGCCTGGGCTAGAGTGCCATGGCATCATCCTAGCTCACAGCAACCTCAACCTCCTGGGCTTAAGCAATCCTCTGCCTCAGCCTCCTGAGTAGCTGGGACTACAGGCATGCGCCACCATGCCCGGCTAATTTTTTTCTATATATTTTTAGTTGTCCAATTAATTTCTTTCTAATTTTAGTAGAGATGGGGTCTCGCTCTTGCTCAGGCTGGTTTCGAACTCCTGAGCTCAAACAATCCGCCCGCCTCGGCCTCTCAGAGAGCTAGGATTACAGGTGTGAGCCACCGCGCCCGGCCTGTAGTAAGTCTTAAAATCAAATATTGTTTCATCCTTCAACTTTGTTCTTTTTCAAATTGTTTTGGCTATTCTAATTCCTTTACATTTCCAAATAAATTTTAGAATTAGTTTTTTTATTTTTTAAAAAACCCTGTTTAAATTTTGACTGAGGTTGCCTTGAACATATGGATCATTTGGGGGAAAAATTGATATCTTAACACTATCAAGTCTTCTAACCCATAGTATTAATATATCCCTTCATTATTTAGGTCATCTTTAATTTTTTTAGCATTGTTTTGTAGTTTTCACTGCATTGGTCTTGTATATCTTTTATTAGGTTTATCTCTAAGTATTTCATATTTTTTGATGTTATTGTAAATATTATTTTTTAAAATATCAATTTCCAATTGTTAGCAAGTGGTTATACAGTTGCTTTTTTATATTGACCTTCTATCCTGCAACCTTGCTAAACTCACTTATTAGTTCTAATAGCTTTTTTGTAATTCCTTAGGATTTTCTGCATAGAAATCATGTCATCTGCAAATCAAGACATTCCTGTTATCAGTAATTTGTGTCTTTTATTTTTGTCAGCCTGGCTACCAGCTTGTCAGTTTTAATAATTGTTCAAAGAATGAGCTTTTGGGTTTATTTATCTCTGTTGCTTTTCTGTTTTCAATTTCATCGATTCCTGCCTTTTTTTTTTTTTTTTAAAAGAGACACAGTCTCCCTCTGAAGTCTAGCCTGGAATGCAGTGGCACAATCAGAGCCCACTGTAACTTTGAACTCCTGGGCTCACCTGATCCTCTTGCCTTGGCCTCCCAAAGTGTTGGGATTACAGGCGTGAGCCACCCTGCCTAGCCTCATTCCTGCACTTTATTATTTCCTTCCTTGTGCTTGCTTTGAGTTTATTTTGCTCTTTTTTAATTTTTGAAAAAATTAAAAGAATAATATTTTATGACACATGAAAAATATAGATTTCAGAATCCATAAGTACAGTATTATTGGAGCACAACCACACTCATTCATTTATGTTATCTATCTTGCTTTCACGCTATACCAGAAGAATTGAGTAGTGACGTACACCATGTGGTCCATAAAGCTTAAAATATTTACTATCTGACCCTTTGTAGAAAAAGTTCGCCAACTTCTGGTCTATTATATTTACCTAGATATTTACTTTATCCTTTGTTCCTTTCTGATGTTCCAAGTTTCCTTTTGCTTGTGGGAAGGATTTTTAAGTACAAATTCAATTTCTTTAATAGAAATAGGGTTATTCAGGTTATGTATTATCTTCTAGATGAACTTTGGTAGTTTATGTGTTTCAGGGAATTTGACCATTTTATCTAAGTTAACAAATTTATTGCCATAAATTTGTTCAGAATATTTCTTTTAATGTCTATAGGATCTGTATTGATGTCCCTTTTCTCATTCCTGATAGTCATAATTTGTGGTTTCTCTCTTTTTCCTGAGTAGTCTGGTAAGAAGTTTATTGATCTTTATTGAAATTCTCAAAAAACCAGGTTTTGGTTTCACTGAATTTTTCTGTTGTTTTTTCTGTTTTCAATTTCATTGATTTTTTCCTCTTTTTGTTTTCATTCTGCTTACCCTAAGTTAAATCTGCTCTTTCTTTAGTTGGAAGCTTAGCTCATTCATTTGAGACTTTCTTTGTGTCCAATACAAGCATTAAACTAGAAACATTGATTTAGCTACCTCCCATAAATTTCCAGTTATTTTCATTCAGTTCCAGATACTTTTTAATTTCCCTTGTTTTTTGTCTTTAACCCATGGGTTATTTAGAATTGTTTAGTTGCCAGATAGTTGAGGATTTTCCTTATTTTTCTATTACTGATTTCTAATTTTTGATCAGAGAACATACTTTATATGATGTGAATTCTCTTAAATTTATCGAGACGTTTTATTCTCAGAATATGGTCCATTTTGATAAATATTCTGTGTGCAGTTGAAAAGAATATGTATTCTGCTGCTGTTTGGTAAAGTCTCTAAAATGTCAGTTAGGTCAAATTATTCAAGTCTTCTATAACCTTACTGATTTCTGTTTGTTTAGTCTATTATTAAAAGAGGAGTGTTGAAATCTCTGGTTTTACAATTATAGATTTGTCTGTTTCTTCATTTCTATCAGTTTTTGCTTCATGTGTTTTAAAACTCCATTATTAGGAGCATAAACATTTAGGATTGTTATATCCTCTTGATTAATTGACTTCTTAATTAATATGTCTATATATTCTTGGCTCTGCAGTCTACTTTGATATTAGTATTATCTCTCCAGCTTTTGATTAGTATTAGTACAGTGTACAGCTTTTGTGCTGTTTTCATACATTTTACTTCTATAGCTGTTATTATCCCAAAATATATTATTATTTTTGCTTTTTTTTTTTGGACACAGAGTCTCACTCTCTTGCCTGGGCTAGAGTACCGTGGCGTCAGCCTAACTCACAGCAACCTCAAACTCTTGGGCTCAAGCAGTCCTCCTGCCTCAGCCTCCCGGGTAGCTGGGACTACAGGCACGTACCACTGTGCCCCAGCTAATTTTTTCTATTTTTAGTTGTTTTGGCTAATTTCTTTATAGTAGAGACGGGGTCTCACTCTTGCTCAGGCTGGTCTCGAACTCCTGAGCTTAAGCAATCCTCCTGCCTCGGCCTCCCAGAGTGCTAGGATTACAGGCGTGAGCCACCACGCCTGGCCTTATTTTTGCTTTAACAGTAAATTGTCTTCTGCCCTTTTAGTTTTAACTTGTTTATGTCTTAATACAGGTTTTGTTTCGTTTTTTAAAAATGAGAAAAACATCTTTTATTTTTTTTTACCCACAGGTTAACATTCCTGGTGCTTTTCAGTTCTTTGTATAGATCTGATTCCTGTCTTAGTTTCATTTGCTTTCTGCTTTCAGTCTAATTTTTAAATATTTTTGTAGAGACAAAGTCTTGCTATGTTGCCCAGGCTGGTCTTGAGTTCTTGGCCTCAAGCAAGCCTCCTGCCTCTGCCTCCCAAAGTTCTGGGATTACAAGTGTGAGCCACGGTGCCTAGCCCCTTTGTAATTTTTGATTGGATTCCAGACTATAAGAATTTTACATGTTGTTTTATACAGTATGAATTTTACATTGTTGTTTGGTAGAATATTTTGACCTTCAAATATTCTTAAGCTCTAATTTTCTTGGAAAACATTTAATCCTTTTGATGATTTTTTTATATTGTGTTAGGCAAGTAAGACCATATATCCTTTAATCTGGGGCTAATTTGGTTCCACTACTGAAGCAATACCTTTCTAAGTACTCAACCCTGTGTATTGTGAGGTATCTCTACTGTGGCGGTTGTGAATATGAACTATTTCCTGGCCTTTGTGGCTTCTGATTATGGATCTGCCTCCTCCTCTTGTGACTGTTTCCTCCGCCTCTGGTGGTTTCCTCAAACACTACACTGCCCAGCACTCAGCTGAAAAACATGGGGAGCTCTGTGCAGATCTCTAGGGCTCTTTTTTCAGGCAGTTCATTCTTTCTAGCACTCTGCCTTGGGAATTCTAGCTGCCTGAGCTTTCCTGAGTTCTGAATTCTGTCTCTTTAACTCAGGAAGACCACTGGACTCTATGTGAGTTTCCCCTCCTTGTGCTGCCATCTAGAAACTTCTCCAGGCAGTCAGCTGGGGCAACTGTCATTTATTTCCCTTCTTTCTGGGATCATTGTCCTGTACTACTTGCTGTCTAGTGTCTGAAAATCATTGTTTCATATAATTTGGCTTTTTAAAAAATAGTCGTTTAAATTGCAAGGGTAAGTCTGATTGATGTTACTCTATTGTGGTGAGAAACAGAACTATGTTCCCTTTTTATACATTGCCTTACTTGTAGGTGTCATACCTGTTTTCATGTTGTGAGTTATTTTTGTGGGCATGGCTAGCAAATCTTTATGTCAAGACTGCCCTCTTTCCTGAGTTCAGTATTTTCATTTCTTTCCTTTTACCTCAAATACAGTATACATCCCTTCAAACAAAATTTCCTTTCTGTTGTCCTTATTTCTATTATTTGAAGCATAGGTCTCCAAGTCCCATAGGCTGGAATTCCTTTTTATCTTCTCAAACATACTTGGTGCCTAAGTTCTCTCATTCTTCCCCTTATACTGTAATTTTTTTTTTTTTTTTACATTTTATACCCT